AAACTACGAGTGCTTGAAAATGATTGCACATCTGTTAACCGAAGAAAACATTGAAAGCATCTGTTTTTTTTAGCCTGGTCCACTAATGCACCGACTTCATACTCTTCAAAAATACTCTGAAACCAACTTTTCATTTTAATTTCATAAAAAAAAAAAGGCAAAACAGAATGTCAACTGCATTCATAAACATTTTGTATTCGTTATAAACTAGCTTGAAAAATTTTTTTAAAAAGAATGAAGTATGGAAAAGTTAGTTACAAAAGTTTGCCAATTTTGGTTTTTTCATTATTATATTGAAATTAATTTTTCGATTTGATGTACTTGATTATTTCTGCTCAATGCTTTCACAGTAGACAATATTCATGTAATTGTTACAAGTAAATTGGTATTCTAATATACAGTCTGCTTTTTACAAAGATGCCAGTTTGGTTTTGGAAATTTTTCACTGAAAAAGGAATGTAATAGAAAATTAGTGGACAGAGACTGCTTCCGCACCATGATATATAATAATAATTGCATTACCGAACTTGGATAAAAGCTTTTGATAAGCATAAAAGTTTTCTAAAAACTTCAAAGCTACGATTTGTTTATGTGTTTACCAAAATAAATGATACTTTTTTGAAAGAATTTAAGTATCTTGTAATGCAATCAATTTGATCAATTTTCTTCTTTAGGACGAGTATATTTTCAAATTTTTGAAAACGTAAAATGAAAAGAGACAAGCAAAACTCGAAACATTGGTTTGCTTATAAAATATACCGAAGTTTTAGCTTTTAATTGATTTATCAAATTAAATCAATTAAATTGCATGTCTTTATTTCAGTCTTCAAATCTCTGAAATTTTTGCTCTCAAAACTTTATCACTGCATAGGCTGGTTTTGAAGTAAAAAAAAGAAAGAAGAAAGTTAGTAAGCATACAAAATTGTTAGAATAATCAGTAAGTTTGATGAGTTGAAATACAATTAAATAAATATTATATTCATGACATAACAAATTTTATGCATTATATATATATATCAAAATGTATTTTTAAACAATGTTATCGATAGCATTTTCTGCCATTCGTTCAAAAAACATAAAATGAAGAAACGAATACTTAATTAAAATGAAATTCTGGCTTGAAAATAGTGCAAAAAAACTCAGTGCTGTGCACTTATGTACAGATAACTCAATCGAAATACCAAAAAATTTTCCTTGTAATATTTTAAAGTTAACTTTTTTGATTTACCTAATTCTAGCAAATCTTTGTGTACTGACTTCCACCTCAGAAATGAAATAATTATCTTTGTAATATCCATTAAGACTGTCTTTCTTCAAGAATTCTCACGCATGTCTCAATGCTAAAGTCTTTCTAGCAATTATTTTTTTAAAGTCATTAGACTGCTTTATTTTCATTTGCTTTTCACCTCTTTATGTTTAAAAAACCAAAAACTAAATAGTTTACAACTTACTAATTTTATCTAATGCGTCCGCTTAATCTAACTAAAATGTTTTGAATATTACTAATTAATTGAGCATTTTCATTCATCAAACTTTCAATATTATGGGAGGTGCTAAAGCAGCTTGTTGCAAAAATTTGAAATTATACAAACTGCACTTGAATGTTTCAATGTATTAGTCTTTACATAAATGTATGCCTCACACATATGTTTGAATCGTTTTATTATTTATAATTTCAGACGTATTAGTATTTACAGCACATTTTCAGTATCAAGTACCAAAATTTTTCACGTACATATTATACAAATTTTGGACAGTTTTGAGAAGTAAAGTTTTTTGACCTATTTACAATTACTTCTTCATGTGAACTGTATTTTCATTACAAGTTTCTAATATTACAGTTTTATAATTTGATGAGACCACTAAAAAATCTTTAAAAAATTCACTTTTGTAAATCAAAAAGTAGACAAAAGTTCTCCATTTATAAATTTTGTATTATTTAAAAGAAGCTGAAAAATGACGGAATTTAGAAGGTAGCATGCAAATGAACGTTGGTGAGATTATAGGTGTGAAAAAAGAAAAGTTAGATAACAAATAAAATGCATATACAGCTTTGCAAACTTATGAAAGGAAACAAATGAGAAGACTATTTTTCAGATCCAGAATAATACACTTCTACATAGACTTGACGCTAACAAATAATGATTGCAATTATTAATCTACCAGATGAACCACCTGTGGATTGTCCCAACAAAGTGCTGAAAAGTCGGCAATTATATAGTGACATGTCTGTTAGAAACGGCAAAGCATACGTGAATGGATTTCATGAAATGTTTGCTTTATGTAACACATACACAAATTCATTGGTACGTTATTGCTGCTATTTTAGGCGAAATATTTAGAAATGCATATCTTAGTTGAGAAAATAAAAATTTGTTATGCTTGGCTGTAAAAAGATCCTTCTACCTTTTATGTAAGACTAACGTAGTGATAATATGAGCTTTCAACAAGTGTGCTTCATATTAGCTTGTTTGACCTGTTTTAGCAAGAGAATACCTGCACTATTAGGCTTTTAACACAACACGTATGTAGTGATAATTAGTGCCAAATTTTCACTATGCTTGCTAGAAAATCAAATTTTACTAAAATGTAGCCCTAATTTACTTTGCTTTCATCTATAAGCATCTTTTTCCACCATTAACAAGTCAGTAATTTTAATTTTTTTATAGATAAAAAAAGAATTAATCTTAGGTTTTGTTTTTTCCAGAATCTCAATCTTCTTTGGCAAAATGGATTACAAAAGTCATTTCAATACAACAAAAACAAATATTCAGCCTGATATGTCAGTCAAAATTACGCAATAAATTTTTTTCAGAATTGAAAATACTAAATACGCTTCTTAAAGAAATTTCATAAAGTTAGCCAATATATTCAGCTTAAATATGCCTTTAAAATTATAAATACATTCGGCTTAAATACTTGAAAAATAGTTTGAAATATACTTTACTCAGAGAAACATTCATTCTACAATGTTCAGAAATACATACCACTTTCACAACAATCTGATTTTTGTGATTTTTCAATAAAATTTTTGGTAACACAATTAATTTGTGCCCAGTTCGAATATGTTTGCTTTTTTTAAAACAACTAATACTATTTCCGTTTTTTTTGATGGAATTTTTCAAGAACAAATGTTTGTTGAACATACTTAGCAAGATAAGTTCTTAACTTCTTGTGCATTCTGCAAATTTTCAAGTTCTATTTAGTGACAAGAAACTGAAAATAATCGCTTTTTTGAGAACAAAAATAATCTTACTTGCAGTTTTCACCTCTTAAAATACTTTCAAAACTGAACATATGAATATTATATAATACACAATTTGCATAGAAGCAGTACAGAGAATAAACAACGCAATTGTCATAAAGTAGCTATTATTGTTCTGTCTGTTGATTTTATTGTGCAAAATTTTTGCAATAAATTTAGAAATAAATAAAACAAAGCAATCTTGCTAGGCCTACGCTATTTCCAGCTTTTTGATAAATAATAAAAGTGATTGTTTGCTTTTGCTTGCTTAATTGAAACTGAAAAAGAATTATTTCCCAAGTTCTGTAATAAAATTAAAAGACTTTTGTTGCAAATTAGATGAAATATATTAAAGAACAAAATCAAATGCAATGCTCAAAATGCTATCCAATTTTCCAAACAATATATCTCTGAGTTGTTCTGTATTTCTTATGATGATAATACAATATATTTCCATAAACAAAATATAATATTGCTTTAAAATACATGCCCACATGAATAAAACATTTGTTTGCTATCAGATTTCTTGAATTATTAAAAACTACTACATTCTTATTGAGGGAACGAAAACTATATGATCTTAAACTTTTTATATCTTAATTGTATAAAGTCACTCACTAGTGTCACTTTACCTTTACAGATGCTAAATGCAGTAGTAGTGCTTGAACTGCTCCCATTTTCACTCGATTCCTGACATAACTATCCATCATGTAGAAATGTATCTACCGCCCTTGTATGTTGAATCCACCAAAAAAAAAAGAAACTCATTCCAGATTGTCATTTAAGTCGATGTTTTTTCTAGTAGCACATATTTTTTTCTTTTTTGTGTTTCAGGTCACATCTTACCTATTAATCTATGTATCTATCCCTTTATATATTTTTATATCATTTAATCCTTTTATTGTCACTAGTGTATGATAAAATTTTACATCCCGGAAAATAATTTAAAGACTGCAAAATTGCGTTCAACACATTTGTAAATACTTAGTTAGTTAATGCATCTAGACTGAGCAAATAAAACACTGATCAATATTGAGCAGTTTTTTTAACTGATCTTTTTTCACTAGGTTCTGGAATTGAACTTAATAACTTTGTAGATTCTATGCAGTTCATCTTTTGCTTGTTTTTTTTTTGTATGATTAATGACAAATGATAACTAATAATTACAAATACATTTATTTAGTGTGAAGTCAATATTATGGATGCATCTGAAATGGAACTGTATCAAAATAATTACATTTAACGACTGTAAATGTAAAAAAAGCAAAAACTCAACACCGGCTTCCATTAGAACTCAATAGCACTGAAATTTAAAACTTTTCTCTAATATTATAATTAAAAATGAATCTTAAAATTAATAAGAAAAATTAGAGGGTAATGGAGCTATAGGAACAAAAATACAAGCACTCGCCGGTTTCAAATATGCAATTATTTCGGATCACAGTTACTACTGTTTCTTTCAAGACATTTAATAGTGATCAATGTATTGATGCTTTATACAAAAGCCAGAGCAAAGCCACTGTGATAAAATTTAAACAATTTACATATTTAGGAACTGCCTATTTGCAGATAGTACAATTTACATATTTGCAAATTGTAAAATGTTGTGGATAAAAATTTTATATATAAGCAAAAAAATTTCTTCGTCAAATAATTTTTTAATTCACTTTGTATACTGACTGACTCAGTGTGTGGACTTTAAAAATACTTGATCCGACCCGCAGTTTTTCACAAAAAACACAGCTTATATTCAACAATGTCGTGGTGGTCTAATGAAAAAGAAACTGCACCAAAACGTTATGCGGAAGTTAACTTTCAATCAGTCTCCATAATGTCTAATAATCATTGCATATTAATAATATCCTTATCTTTTTGATACCAAAAATAGCTATTTCAAGGTTTTTAAAGAACGTTCGTCTCGGGACGCATTCGTGCTAGATCCTATCAAAATGGCAGTTTCCCCAGATGGAAAATTTGTTTTCATTATCGGCAGTCGTAGGGTTAATAAGTGCAAAGCACACTTCTCATTGCCCTTAATTTAAACAGTCTTCATTTCTCAAGTCAAATTATAACGTTTTCTCTTAATTTTTGATTTAAGTCGATTTAGTTGTCTATGCTTAGTACTGTTTTTTGTTTACAATTAAGAAAAAAATAATGAAAGCGTAATTTTAGGAATATCTCGTAATATCATAAGTAGTCAATTTACTCATTTGCAACATCGCTGCAGATAGTTGTTACATCAGAACGGACGCCGATTGAATGGACAACCTCTTTCAAAATAGATGTATTCGATCTGTGTTTGGAAGAACGTAAAACAATACTCCTCAATGATTTGTTCGACTTTGGGGATTACCTTGTGCACATTTATGCTCCTAACAGTAGCACCCTTGTTGTGCTGGATTATAACCATCGTCAGGCAACTTTGCGACAACGAATTATCAAAGTAATGTATACTTATATCATTATGAATGAGTCATCCTTCAAATTTGCTACCACCTTCCACCGCAATTCACTTTGCATTTACATAAGTTCTTAGATCCAGCACAAAAATATCATTGCAATGACTAATTCATATGCATCAATCAGATTATCAATAACATAGCCATCTCACCGTTCCATCGATGCTACCATTATGGTACTTCTCAAACATCATTCATCAAAGCAGCTGTTGGTGACCGACTCTGCGCTGTAGTCAGTAGACAACGATTTGGTAAAAACTTATTAAGTCAACTTGAGCCAAAGAGCTTGAGAAAGACAGTGAAAAGGAACTTGCCTCAATTAACAAATAATTTACACTTCTAATTATTCTAAGAATTATATATCAAATCAGACTTGTTTTACCTACATCTTGCACGACCTAAAAAGTGACGGACTTTATTATAGAAGGGCAGTTTGTAGCACTAATTATACCAAAAAATCCATATGAATTAAAACCGGACACACCAAATGATATCTCCATTCACATTAACAATGTAAGTGATTATAAGATAAAATTCTATCAGACTCTTCATGTCATACCATCACACTTTATCATACAAATCAAATCTAATTGTCCACCGTAGATAAATTACTTTATTTCTCGTAAAAATTATCAATAATGCACACATTGACTTACAAAGGTGATGGTAGCAAATAATACTTTCCAGATGAATACCGAATTACATGCATCATTATCTCTAAATATTTGTCATTATATCGCACCATTTTTTTCTCACAACGATCATGAGCTATGCTTTCTAACTATCAACAGTTTAACACTGAATATTGAACCTTCAAATGTCAGCTTTTTAAATCTACGGTAATGCAATCTTACTTTTTAACAATGCAATGAATTCATTTCAAGGCTACTTGTAATAGACAGATGAGCAACAGTATTAACTGCAAACCTATTTCATAAAATTAACACGAATCCTTCACCTGCGATTTCTAGTTTTGTTCATTTTGTTGAGATCTCTTAACTGAGAAAATAAAAAACCAAAAAAAAAACACACACACAAAATTTCCAAGTTCCAATTGATTCAAACCAGTCTAAACAGAAATTACAAGTGGTACTCACGAGATGCAAAACCCGATGAAGTAAGTGGTTTTCCACTTGACGAATACCATCAAACGCCTATCTTGGTCGACTGTTTCGTATGTCAAAATGGGACTCAACAGGTTCCAAGAACTTCTAGAACATTGTTTAAATACGAAACACTAACAAAAAGATATTAATCCTGGACTAATCAAAGAATTTAGATCGGACTGGTTGCCCGATATCGAACGCCACCAACTCACTGGCGTTGGCAAATCTGCTCTGCAATACAATGGATGCAAATGAGACTAGTGAGACTATTTTTCTTCAGCATGGATATACAAGTGGATGTTTTCGGAAGAACGATATTGTACTTAACAACATTCCTTAGTTACCTCAGAGATCGCCTTGTATTAAGACCATATGCTAGGTGAGCACCGCTTTAAGCAATAATCAATGCTCAGCTGCTTTCAAAATACTCTTACACACACCATGAACCTTATAGACTGGGAATTCTGAATTTACGATCTTGGAAATGGATTGACCGTTCATACATGTTAAATGATGTTCACTACGTGGATCAACTGACTGAACTGGCATCAAATAGCGGACATATCGTCTCTTTCATCTCGCAGGCATGACAATACCGCAATTTTAGATTGATAACCTTCCTCATAAGTTCTCTACTGCAATATAATTGATATATTTACTAATACGTTGACAACCTGTTTTACAGACATGGGCTGAGAATGACTGCGAACAAAGTATACGCCTAGTGAAATCACCAGTTTCAATGATGTCACTGATTGCAATCGCGGACTTTGAACTTCGTCGTTACGGAAATCCTCAGCTGTCCACTCTCAGACGCCAATATATGCAACATATATGCGGATCTGGATTAAGTTCGTCCACAGCACTTGAAGGAAAAAAATCTAACTAACATAACTGAAAACAAACTACATTTCGCAAGATACTAAGTTGTAAGCATCACAGTGCACCCATCCAAATATCATATTCTAACACCAATTTACAAATAATATATTACCCGTTACTGACTGCTACAATAAAGACTTGAAATAACTGTTTTCACTATTATTTTTTGTGTCCAAACCAAATTTCACTGCAAAAGATTTTAAGGACAAATTATTTATTTATTAAATTATTGATATTTAAGAAACTGAATATTTATTATTCATTTATAAACAATCAAAATTAATAATCCCAACATGCAAAATAACAATAATGGTGATAATTCGGAGATTATTTTCATTCTATTCATCCCCATCAGTGGCATCACCTTCGTCGGCCAAAACTTTTTTGGAACTATGTCTCTTTGCTCGACCTGGACGACCACCACCAAAAGGTGATTTCAGTGAGAAATCAATATGCTTTTGTGAATCCAAGCGAACAATGAACGACGGCATATTTACAACTTGACGCCGAACACTAAAACGAGATATTAAGTGTAACGTTTACCAAGTAAAACAAATTCTAAACCCCTTCAAAAACCAATATTCAATACGGAGCCATAGAGCCGTAATTACTGAATGTAATAAAATATGAGACAAGAAAAATAAAACATGCCGAATGTGTTTCTGCCTTATTAAAACACGGGCATGATGGATAGATTTCGCCAAGCCCAGCTTGAAAACCTGAGTTTGAAGACGACGTTCTAAGAAATCTTCAACTCTTAGACCCAACACATAATCAAGTTTCATGCGATCTTCACCCAACACACCGATACGTACCAAACGACGTAATAAGGCATTACCTTCAAATAAACGCCTTGGATCCTGAAATAAAACACTACAAACACTCAATATATAATCCCTTCACGTTCCTCCCCTACAAATCATTACTGATTAAATAGTAAAAATAAATTATCGCCTTGCAATATATACAGAATGTTAGATACTTGAATCAAAATAATTTTCAGAAATTGTCCACGAATGTACACTAGACAAACTTTTTCTTCTAGTGTTAGCAATGTTCTAGCAGCTTTTCGGATTCTTGCAAGTGTATATTTCACACGCCAAACTTCCCTTTTATTTCTCAAACCAAACTCTCCAATTAATTTCAACTCCTGAAAACCAACTGATTCAGTGGATATGCACTCTGTCAAAATTAGAAAACATTTCAGAATGAGAATCTGCTTACTACAACAGATGCTCAAAATTAATAAGACACATATCAAAAAATTAAGTCCTCGTCAACAAACAAATGTCTTAAAACGCAAATGAGATGAATATAGAATGCATCTAAACTAATCATGAATTTCTCTGAACCGTAATTTCCAATGTTCAAACGAACCTGATCAAGGCGCTCTTTCTCGAAGGGACGTCTAGGACTTTTATAAACCTTAGAAACAACACTTTTAACGCGCGGCATCTTTTATTTTTATTAAACAATCTGCTTTTGCAGCTATGTATTAACCTACGCGGACACAGAAACCTGAAAATCTTGTAAGGAAGTAACAAGTACATACAAATGACTTAGGAAACAAGCACTTACTTTCCATTCTTGCAGTGAGCAATCTTGTAGCAAACAATGAGATTAATGAAAAATAGCTCTAACAAACAATACTTCAAGCCCTAAAAATTTCATTTCTCACAGCGTAAGATTTTTGAAAATTCAGAAAGAGAACAATTAAAAGTAAGGCAGTCTAAATGAGTGGAAATGGAAGTTCTAAACTTTTCTTCTCAACATAAAATGGCTAATTCAATTACACAACACCAAAAATATCCACAAGCATCTTCTATATCTCAAGTAATGCTGATACTACTCTCAAAAACCATCCTCCCAAACACCACTTCAATTATACTCCCAACAATAAATCGTGTCAAAGATAGAGTACATACTGCAGCCTAATTTTGTAAAATGTGAAAACCCTTGCCTGCAAAGATATTGCACTTTAAAAGAAGGACTAAATATTTATACGGCTGGGTGTAAACCCCGAAATTTATGAAACTGAGAATGTGAAATCTGAAAACTTAAAGCCTGAGAACCGATATGGATTTAAATCCTGATCGAAAATTTCGACGAAATACGAAGTTCCATATGCAATTTTGTCTGCATAAAATAGTGAGTCGCATTAAATTTATTTATCTTCGATAAGTTTAACAATAAAAAATGGCTGCTTTGACACTTCATGTGCTTATGTATGTCACTGCAGTGGTAGTTACTGATATGTCAGTGAACGATGGAGCAGATTTTGAGAACATTACACCAGAACTAGAAGTTAAAAAAAACAAAATGATCGCAAGTGTGACCTTTGCAAGTGAAGTAGATAATTTGCAATATCTTAATTATAATGAATGATTAAAATACCAATACTGTGAATTATGGAACCATAATTAGAACATCCTGACTGACAATCTTCTATTCTGAACTATCACACGAGTAAGATGTGCTGAGTGGAAAAACCATGTTATGAGTAAGAGAGTTATCTATCTTTTAGAAATAAGACACACTACGATGAAAACAATACGTAACTATAGGTACGTTGCCAGTAATATCATGGCATCAACTACGAAGCATAACCTCAGGATCAATGAAATACAACGCAAGCTATCTCTGTTCTGGACTACAGTGATTGTCATTATTGTATTGTGGTTATTGATAGCTGTGGCTTTACTTTTTGTCGTATATCTAAGAATTGTATACATGAATCATACATTTTCACAAATATTTTGTCCAGCAGATTAAAATGGACCAAGAAAAAATTGATCAGAAAAAGCATTACGGTAATTAATGTTCTTGTGTGTAAGCTAGAAGATTTTTACCTCATTTCTTAGAAAATATTAGAAAAATTCATTCCACTTGTAAACTTAACTATAGCCATATTTAAAAGCAAAAATATCATGTAACTGCAGTGTAACGTCTTTCTATGATGAACACCTCACTAATAAAAAAAACGATTGATACAAACCAACTTTCATTTTTCTTACCTGCATTGACTGATCCCTAATTATCGTCCCCGTCACATATTACCACATTCACCAAGCCCGTCATTTCTCTTGCGCATTCTAACCTTCCTCACATACTGTTACTTGCATAGCATACACATACACAATCATCGAAATACTTTGCATTGGAATGACTCGTTGCATACCACTTTACTATTATAACATACCGAGTCGTATTGAAAGTTAGAGGCTCCAATTTCGCGAACTGTAGTTTGAGGTGTAAGTCGCGTGCTCAGTCCCACAAATATTTTTGACTCAAGTTCTTGCTGCACTTTCTTCGTATTCCACAAGACAGATGTCTTTTTTTGTTCGAAATCGAAATCAACGAGTGCGAAATGCAGAAAGTGGCAATAAAGTATGTCGTCAAACATTTCGTTTTTATTCGAAATTAATAGTTGCTGTTGTAGCACGCAAACATTTCTATTCTGATTAACAGTTCACTGTGACTTCAGGAAGGATTTGGTTACATAATATAATTAAAGTGAATCTTCAGTCCTGTGTGGGTCTTGTGCCATAGATTAGTTTATATTAGCAGTGTACCTTCTCGTTATTGTGATTAGTAAAGTGTTGCTTCATTTGCTCAGCTGAAACGCAAACTAACACTTCCAAAGTTGTCGAAACGCAAAGCGAGACTGGCTAATGAAGATATTTCATCGGATGATGACCAGTTGTCGGGAGAAGAAAATAATAATTACGTTACCACTCCGAGTGACGAAGAAGAATACCAGGATCTGCAAGACATTGCGTATCAAAAGGCGAAACAGCTTTTGGCGGATATTCAGGTATAAATTAATAAATCATGCTGAATACTTTGCTTTCAGTTATTATCAAGCAGAATAGTATCTATGAATTTATTTTGTATCTTTAATTATTTAGCAAAGCTTTTATACCACGCTGTGGAATAATTCTAGGCTGAAGAACAGAATGATGAAAGTGGAAGATCCATTAATGAAGCAATCATTCATCGTTTACGAGATGATGCTTTGTCAAAGGTCACGACTTTACATAGACGAGTTGCTGATGAAGTACAATTAACTGACAGCGCTGTGCAGTACAAAGCTCACAGGTTATTGAATTGAAAAACATTGTCTACGAAGTTTTTAGCGTACTAGTTTCACGCATCACTTAGTATTTAATTATACTGACAGAATTTTTCTTCAGTACTTATTTATGAAAGTGAATGAAGACCGTGAAAAATTGCATTAGGTAATTTCATTTCACATAGTACTTATTTTTAATTACATGTCATCTTTTTTTTATTTGAAATGTAATTGGATATATATAGTTACTGGCTACACATATTGTTTTTTTTCCTTATATATTATGCTTCAGTAATTCAAAAGAATAGTTCAGTCAGTAAACATGTATTCGTTACAGATTACTGAATATCTCTATCCATCTCTTTATATATTTAACTTGTTTAATTGATAAAGTTCCAGGTTCTCAACCGTTGCAGTTGCTTTTTCCTGTGATGGTAGGTATGTCGTGAGTTGCTCAAAAAATGCAACAATAGCCAAATGTTAGTTCACTAATTGTTCTTCAACTTTTTTTGCGTTGTCATATTGTGGAATTGCTACTTTCTCTATCACAAAAATATGGAGAACAAAGAGACCTGTCGATTTTGCTAGCATTAGTTTCATCTTATAATTTGGCAGGAGGAGGAAATGCTGTGACAAGAGTTTCTAGTACACTTTGGAATGATAGATGAATGTGAAGCATTTTCATAGTATTTGATTTCTATGTAAAACAACGTACATTTGTAAAAATTTTGGGTTTTTCAGTCATATTTTTGTAGATGATTTGGAAGAAGGTAAAATAGTAGCTACTGTTAAGCACCGTAAAAAGGATGATACATCTCATCAAGGTCAAATATTCTGTATTGCTGTTTCGTGTAATGATCGATATCTTGCAACTGGTGGTAGTGACAAAATTATAAGAGTTTGGAATTTCAGTGATTTACAACATGTAAAAAATTTGACGGGCCATACTAATGTGGTTACAGGTTATTTTTATTACTGTCGTTAATCTAGTTTAATAACATCCTAATTTTTATCTTTTATTTATGCTACTTTCAATTTTCGTTTCCTTAAAATCTCATGTTATGCGCTGCCATATTTTAACCGTAAGCTGGAAATCATGATTCTAATATTTTTACTATTTTATTCATTTTAGTACTGATACTGACTGCACTTTTTCAGCGTAATAATGAGTTTGACGTTTTTTTTGATTAGTTTATTTTGTAGGTTTGGTGTTCCGATTAAATACTCTGCAACTTTACAGTTGCTCAAGAGATCGAAGTATTAAACTTTGGGATTTAGAACAGCTAGGATATGTTGATACTCTGTTTGGTCACGTAGATGCTGTCGTAGACATTGGTGCTTTATCAAGGTGTTTTATTATAACATTGATTTGTTGGCACGAGTCAGTATTAATTCTTCTGCAGTGAACTTTCAGAAAGAAATTTATTTCTTGAAATAATTTGAGACTAAACTGGATAGTTGTTTATGATTCTGTGGTTGGGGATATGATTTGTTATAATTATTTAGAGAACGTTTGGTAACCGTAGGTTCTCATGATCGTACAGTAAGATTATGGAAGATACCTGAAGAAAGCCACTTGATATTTAATGGATATTCCACGTGTTTAAGTATTGATTGCGTTGCGCTTATCAATGAAGATCATTTCGTGACTGGTTCAGCTGATGGGTGTGTTGAGTTGCATCTTTTGTAAATTTGTTGTAATATCATGAAAATTGCAGCTGTATTTTTTAATATTTAAAACTTTAATATCCATGGATTTGTAATCGTCTGTGAGTGTGTATGTTCTTATGCAAAAAAAATCGTCAAGATTTTTGAAACGTTTTTAATTGAAGCTTCGAAATATTTGATTTAAATTAGATGGGCTTTTCTTGTTAGAAGCTTGAAATTCTTATCTCAAGAAATGTAAATCCTGCATCATCATCGTCATTTTTCAGAAGTTTATGCATCTGGTCAGTCTTCAGAAAGAAGCCAGTTTGCTTCCAGGCGGAAGCACATGGTCGCAATCCTGACGGCCATGCTAACTGGATTGTGTCTGTTGCTGCTAGACAATACACTGATTTAGTAGCATCAGGCGCGTGTGATGGGTTTATTCGTTTATGGAAAGTTGCAGAAGATTACAAATCAATAAAAAATGTTATATCATATGCTCAAGTGTGTTCTTCGTCATTATGTCGTGTTTACTGCAAAATATTGTGGGTGTCGGGCTCTTCTTTTTTCTCCGATATTTCTGTAAAAAAAAGAAAAGTGAAATAAATAAGTTTGGGAGAATAATTTTTAAAGCGAGAATTAAGAGCATTGACCTTTACTGAAAATCACGACCACTGAATTTATTATTAGACTTGTTGTTCATCTAAATTTTATTTTAAAAGAGTTATTCAAAAAAAAATTTTTTTTGTTTGTTTTGTAGTTTGATATCATATAGTAAAATGGTTTGAGGTTACTCGCTATTATTCATTCTGATGGGTTTTGGATGATTTTTTTAAGATTGGTTTTATTAATCGAATTTGCTTCTCGTATGATGGTGACGAGGTAGCCTGTGCTGTAGGGCAAGAGCACAAATTTGGAAGATGGTGGAAAATTCCAGAAGCAAAAAATGTTGTCACAGTGTTTTCACTAACAATGTAAAAAATTAAGCAGTAAGTTATTGAAGATTTCAATGCAATTTCTATTTTTTTTTAGTCCATTTTTTAATTTCATATGAAATCCTCATTTCCTTGAATAATACAATTAGTGTCTTATTGATTTTGGTTTTCAGATAATATGTTTTATAAGTTGTTGTTTCAGTTTTCAGTTCTACATTATTATGGCAGATATAAACAAGGGATATGGTTGCATTTTAAAACAGTGTGAAAATTGTACTGGAAGTTGCAGATGATGGAAAGATTTACTACGAAAGTAGCAATTAAGGAAGGATAATTGGGAGTCTGTTAGATATTTTATTTATTTTCCTTAACGCGAATTTTGTCTTAAAGGGTTAATTGATGGTGTATATAAGAAGCATATTTCCAAAGCATACAATTGATCACTTTTTTTGAAATACGTATTTGGGTCAGTATTTTCACGTTATCATTTTCAGCGATAAGTTTTCTTAGTTTTTGTTTATCGAATCAAAAATGGATGATTGTTTGTCAGCACGTCAAGGCTCATTTGATTATTTAAACAATTGCTTTTAGACTGCTTATGTATAATTTTATTGATGTTAGATTTAATCCGAAGTAATATAAAGTTTTTTCATCTTGTTTTATTGTTTCTTTTTTTTGAGTATATGCCTTCTGTGAATTGATGGTTTAAAGGTATTACTACTTTTTTTGCAGTCTTTAAAGTTCTCCAAAATTTAATGCAGTTCATTAACTGGATTGTTGTTATTGTTGTTAAACAGATTGTTTATTTTTCATTTGTGTTTTTGTTATGGAGCGGAGGAAATAAACATTTTGTTCATGCGAAACTTTCTATACAAACTTAAATTTATAGGAAAGCGTACAAAATTTTTTTCAGTATTGGTTTATGTAATATTGTTTGATTTGAAAAGGGAAGGGAATTATGAGGATAGTCAGGTAAGTGGAATGAGTTCAAGTTTACAAGTTGTTCTTAATGTCGTAGTCATGGAGGTTCTAGCAGATGGCAGTGTTTTTACATCTGCTTGACAATCACAGAATAGTGGTCATGTAAACTCTGCTTGCAATAAGGGTGTCTTGATTGAGTATGGGACACATTCTATTGGAAAGTGTCCAGCGATTTAATGATTAAATAACCACAGAGCTCAAGAATAGTTTTATCATGGGCGAGGGTAATGATTTGAGACTGTTATCTGCAACTTAAAAATGATTGTTTGATCTTTGCCATTAATATTAATATCCTGTGCATAGAAGAAATATCTCTATCTTTGTATTTTGATGAACATTCTATGCATCTTATCTGGAATATATCTGTGAAATGAAGGATGTAGGTGTATTGTGAGTGAAAAGAGAAACGTTTCTGCAGCGAAGTATTCCTTCCATCTCTGCATTTGTTGTAAAAATGTGCTTGAAATTTTTTATGCAGTGAACAGCTGTTATTTTTCATCAGATTTAAGATCTATGTAATCGTTTTGTTTCATTTCTAGTCTCTGGAATGAGCAAGAACATGTATTACAGAATTAGATCTTATCAAGTAGTTGTATTACCTTCATGGTGATGTAATGCTGACCTAGCGAATATTGAAAAGATTTATAAATTAAGATGTTTAGTTTAGGAATGAGTGCATTCTATTGAGCAGTATGGAAAATAATTGAAGCATAACTCAAATGATGAAAAAATAAGGTGTATGTGCTGCTTTTTAAGAGGCAGCAAGTTATTTTCGCTTTCATATTCTTATCTAATTCATGTAAATCAAGAAAATCACTCTGTTTTATGTCAATAATAATTTTTCACTTAGTACTTCATTTCTTGGACTACTTTTTTCATTTATTATTACTTATCATTTCTTCTTTTACTTCACAAAAGCTAAACTTAGCATTACAGAAGCATTTTACAAAACTGAACAGATTTTTTGCTCTAACTTTATTTTTTTACATTCGTTTATCATTCATTAATTTGTGCTTGCTTAATTTTATTACACTAAGTTTGATCTTACATAAAAATTTCAAATGACTATTTAGCAATGATAATGCATTGCTTAATCATTTCATATCTTACAGCTTAATATGCAAGCGACTATGATTACTTAATAATTTCTTTTGCATGTAATCGCGAGTAATCTTCTGCAAAAATTTTCTGCCTCAATCGTTAACAAAGAGCTGCTTTTAAAATTCTTTTTCTTCTTTGCTGAGGAGAACAAATTTGCTAGAATTTATCGTGAAAAACTCTCAACAACTGTTATTAAACTGCTTTTGCTGATAGCTTTTCTTATCACTTTATTCTTGCGTGTCTGAATTATTGTACTGAATACTTCTCCAATGCTTAGTCGTCTTTTCTGCTGTACTTAATTATTAGGCATGAAATATCAACAATGTTCGATTCAAATTTACCTCTTAGTTCTAAAGTTGTCCCTTCACTCAACCAATTAGCTTGTTTGAAAGCTTCATGTAATTATACTTTGCTAATTATTGCTTGTACTCTTTTCTTGTCTTTTTTGCAGTCTTAAAAAAAGAAAAATATGATGGCTTATTTAAAAAATGGAAGTGAGCCATTTGTGCACATAATTTATTTTTTAAGTAATGAACGCATAATGTTATTGTTTTCCTTAATACTTGCTTGTTCTTCTGTTCATTAATGTAAGTTATTTTTAATTTTTGTATTTAGAATTTTTGTCAGTTGTTTAGAAATGACTAAAGAGTTAATACTTTGAACTAATATTTATATTTTGTTGTAATGAAAAGTTGAACAGCCCAATTTTGTCTTATTCGTTCATATCAAACGAATTCATTTCCAAGTTATTAGCATTATAAGCTATATTACACAACTAATTAATTATTGTTAATTTGTTCCAACTATTTGCAAACTATCACAATACTTTTGTGTAGTCCTCATCGGTAGAAAGCAATGTTTTTTGTGTACATGAATTTAAGATACGTGAAAAATTGATTCCAGGCAAACAAAAATTAACGATATACGATTATCATTGGATTGTTGTTGTTTGAAGGGTAGGCAAAATTTTTGTTGGTTATAACATTTCTCCTTCATAATCGAATCCGAAAATCAGCCATGAATTTCAATAATTTAATTGTCACAGGTAATAAATATTTTTATTTTTGAATTGTTGATTCTTTTAAGACGCTGTTTTGATTAGCATTAAGACTTTACCTTTCAGTATCGTTGTAACTGTACTGTTAATCGCTTAAACAAACTGTAAACGAAAAATGAAAGTGGTCAGTGAAAATAGATATGCATAATACTGTTTTAGTTGCATTCATTCAATTTGTCCGTAGAATTTTTCACTCATTTCTAAGAGTAAAAGAGCATAAATGCTACTTCTATTATCGTTCATACCTTCTCAGAATCTGACAACATACTGAATATTAATTTCGTTTCAAGTGTCTATATACTGCAGTGTCTTAAAACCAATTAATTTATCTTTAGTTCAGCTTACATTACGTGTGTATATTTAAATGCTTCAACAGTACAAAGAAGCTATTTTTTTAACGTTACGAATTTTTGCTGCCTTTTCTTAACAGATGTTATCCATTGTTAATTTTTTCAATTCTTTAGCAGTGAATTCTACATAAATGCATTTTATACTTATCACATTTTTAATTATTTTTTTTTTGTTTTTAAGACACAGCTTAGTTTTCTTTATTTTTGACATGAATGAGTTCTATTTTAGACAGTCATTAATAATGATGAAAATGTAAAATTAAAAAAAAATTACTCAAATCTTTGTGTTGATAAGCGTGAAATAATTGTGTTGTAGTAATTGGTGCTCGTGGATTATCGCTGAAAGGACATAGTGAACTGGATGCATTTGTAAATTTGACATTAAGTAGGAAAGGTAATTGGAAAAGCAAAGTACAAACAGATGTTGTTCGAACAGCAGCCGATTGTAACTGGAATCAACAATGCGAGTTGTAAATAATATTAATATTCATTTTGATTACTCATCAGAAGCATTTTCGTTCAAGCAATTTTTTTGAAGTACTTAAATGAAAACATTAGTTTCTATTTATATTTTAGAGCATCGAAGTAATACTAGCTAGTATTTTGTAAAAGTGCTTACTATTAAAAAGGCATTAATTTTTAATATTAAACCTAAAAACTTAATTAAATAATCCAATATTATTAATATTTATTTTGATCGGAAAAAAATTCATTATTTTTCGAAGTCTATAAGAAATATCAATATTTGAAGCAGCGTAAATGATCTGGACTTAGTGCTGAATATAACTGCAAACCATCGAACTACTTTGGGTACTGCTGATTGTATCGGTGCTCTAGAATTACCGTTACGTTCGTTAGTAAGTATACGTACACCAACATGGTATCGCCTATGCAAAAAAGGAAAATACAGTATTGCTGAGCAACTCAAAAAATATAGAGGTGAAGTGTGCTTGAAATTTGAATTCTCAAACAAAGTGCACTCAGAAACAACGCAGAACTTGTCCGATCCGTCATTTTCAGTTACTTCTTCCCGTGGTTGGTTACTTTTTTCTGTTGTAACTTTAGCATTTATATATATAATGTTTTATGAATTGAACTGAATACATTTAACATCCATTGCAGTAAAACTTTTGAAATTAAATTGAAGTATCACTACAGTCTCAAAGTTACCAAAAAATTATTATATTTAGGTAAAAAGTGCAGTTTGTAAACTTGTAGAATTTTGTAGAATGCATTTTTTTCACCTTTGGGAGCATTTGTTTAG